GCTAATTTGGTTAATTAATGTCCAACTTAATTTCTTCAATTTTTTCTTCTAAGACTAAAGGCGTAGGTACACTCTCTTGCTATCTATATTTTCAGTCTTAATTTGATTGTGTTCTGTTTAGAGTATTGATCATAAAATTAAATATGCAAGAAAAAGTCTTCATTTTTGCTAGATTTACTCATTTTTGGGTGCTTCAAGTAAATATAGAATAATATATCTCTACATAATAATATTTGAATCATGGATGTTTTTCTTGCAGAAAATATCCATTAACTTCACCATACATATTGTGTTTTAGCTTATTAAAATGCTGAAAATAACTATTTTAAAAAAATAAACACTTTTCATAATACTAAGATTTAATTTTAATTTTTACTCAAAAAACAATAGATATTTCTAATACTGGAAGACTGAATATTGAATAAGAATTTATTTTTTGAGTCACACTTGGAAGGCTTGTTTCCTTTCCTTGAAGATATGATGGGTAAGGGAAAATTAAAGAAATATAATAGTTCTTGGATGTTGATGTTGTTATTAGGGTTGAGCATTAGGTATAGGTATATCTGATATTTGTAGGTATTTGACTTGTTTAAGTAGGTATTTTACCTGTATTTATGAAGAAATAGTTAAATACTGGGTGTAAAAAATGCATACCTACTAAGTATTTGCATACTTGTATACTTGATCCATATTCCTAACTTGTATATATGACATATATACATGATCTATACTCTAGTTTTATATGTTTAATTTGTAATATAATGTTATGAAATTAAAATATTTTTTTTTCTTTTGGCAAAGAAGATTCAACTAAAAGAAAATCATATGGATTTTTATTTGTATTTCTTTTGTTATTGCATATATAAACTTGTGAATGTGTAAGTGTATATATTCACGTATTTTATTTTATATATAAATTTGTATTATATGAATGAACTTATAGTTGTATATTAACTTATATATTTTTAGTATAGAATTTAACAAGTATATAAATATACATGTAGGTATACTTAAAAGTATATTTGTACCTAGTAAGTTAGGTAACGAATATAAATTTTCAATATCTAAATAAATACTAAATATTAAAATTTTATACCTACCACTCTTCAAGTCAAGTATAATAGTATAAATATAAACAAATACTTAATCCATATCCCTAGCTGTTATCCAGACAAGTGGATCCATAGCATCTGTACTGCTCATATCCCACTTAATCATGACAAACCGGGGCCCAACATAATCTATTGGGCTGCCAAGCTCCACCATACAATATTGGGTCAAGCTAGAGTATCTCAAGTAGCCCAACTCTAATTTTAACCCACATGTCATGTACCTTAGAAAAAAAAAAAAACAAAAGAGAGAGAGAGAGAGAGGGAACTCATTTAATATTTTTTTTTTTTAAAAAAAAAAAATCTTTGCTTATATAATAAGAAGACTCTTCTCAATCAATATGAGTCAAATTTAGAATCTCTAACATCTATCATAAAGAGATTATTATTAAACTATTATTTAAGCATTGATTAGTAAAAGTAGCTATATAGGAAACAAATATATATAAATTTGTAAAATTTTCCCCTTAAGAGTACTATAAAAAAGGTCATTTCTAATTAAGTTGATAATAAATACTTAATAATAGATAAAGAAGTCATAAATAAATAAATAACTCTAAGTAGAGAGATATATAAAGGTAGCAACGCAAAAGAAGTAGATGAAAAAGGAAAAAAAGCCACAAATTGAGAAAATTATAATTCATTATTTTAAATTAACAATAGACTAATAAAGTAGAGTTTTTTTTCTTAAAATTATTTAGACATGCATGAATTGATATATAATAAGTTGAATTCTCATGCATATTATTGCGTTAATTTTTCCTTTAGGAAGAAATCAGAAATATTAGGACTGAATTGCAGAAGAACAATTTGAAAAAGAGAAAGTTGAAGTCAAGGACCCAGACGAATAAATAAAACGTGTATAGATCAAAGTGCAGAAAAAGTAAAAGTAGAGAGATCAGCAAAGTTTTACCCATGAAAAAACAAAATTGCTTCTTAGTCCAAAGTCCCGACACAGACACTCTTTTCTGTAGATTGAAGGGCGGTGCCCACACATGTTATTAAGGTGTCCATACTTTTCGATTTTCAGCATATATTCACACCAAAATTCTAATTATCTTGGCATCAGTGCCACTTCTCTTTTAAGGTAACTTTAAGTCCTATAAATGCCTATTTGTTTTAATTTGTCAATTTTTTAGTGTTAATTTAAATCTTAATTTCTTAAATAACTTTGTTAAATTTAAAGAACATATAAATAATTCTAATCCTTCTAAGATAATTTTTACCATCCAATATCAAAAAATAATAAGAAGAAGAAGAAGAAGAACCTTACACTTCAATTTTTTTTACAAAAACTTAGGTGGCAATAATATAATTTAGAATATTTGTATGGATTGAGTGTGAAATTATTCTTGTTTTCATATATTTTACACTTCCATCCTTCAAGTCTTTCTTTTGATACATTAAGATTCTCTTGTTGATTTCACTTGCATTTGCTAAGCATCTTCCAGGAAATGCGCCCTGCTATTGCCTAGTGCCAATTTAAGTTGTTTCTTCTCCTTAGTCGGCTCATCAACTCCTCGCATCAAAAATTGAACCAGCCGCTACTTCTAACAATTTACTTTGCAAGGCCCAAGTTGGTTATCAGCGTCTAATTTTACCTATTTCTTCTGCTAGGCCAACTCAGACCTTGTTTGTCCCCAGCTTTTTATGTTTGCGTTTAATTGATCAAAAATTTAACTCTCATTAACAACTTAAAAAATATAATCTATTCTTCAAAAATTCCCTCATGTTCAAAAAAAAAAAAAATTTCTTAGATGGAGTAGTTTAGTGCCATTGATTTTTATTGGTTGTATTTGGAATTATCAATTAGTTTGAAAACTTTGATATATTATAAACCGAATTTAATTAAAATATTTTTAATTGGAATTTCATTAAAATGACATAGATTTATGATTTTTTTTAATTAATTTTGTTCATCCTTCTTGTCAGATTCTCATTTTCAATTTTTTTTAAAGCAAATTGTTAGATTCTTCATTGTGCTACTTAATTGATAATCTCGTAAGGTCTCCTTTCGTTTAGGCACTTCAAGTAAATTAGTATAGAAGTGTATGGCTTCTAGTAATGTATTTGAATCATGTTTTTTATTTTAGAAAATATCCTTCAATCAAACCTCCCTTTATCAGAAAAAATAGGTTTGCAATTGCAATCAAAAAGATCTGTTATCCGATGCTTTTAATTTACTTGGCCCAATTTGTTTGTGTCCGATTTCTTGAGTATCTTGTTCTATACCTGCAGGTACAATTTCTCCTGTTATATTCCTTTCAAGTATAAAATGAAGGAAAATTATTTTTTGTGTATGAATTAATTATTGTCACATTTTTAATTATTAATATTATTTTTTATTTAAAAAATATATAATTTTTAAAAAATAATATAATGATATAATAAATCATTACATTAAAAATAAATATTATTAATTATTTAAGGTAAGGTAATTATTTCACCTGGACTAAACAAAAATAAATATGATTTAAATACTAAAATTATCAAAACACTATTAATACACATTTCATGTTAATTCATTAATAATATTTTAATGGTAGGCGCAGCTGATACTAAAAAATAACTAAATAAATAAATGAACTCATCAAATGGAAAGGCATAAAATACAAATATAAGTGCAGTCTAAGATACAAATCAGTTGCGCATCTCCTTAATGATCAAGATTTTGTAAATTTCTACTCATACATGTATATTTAATTTAAGTGTTTTACAAGTAGTCTTCTTAAAATTTTTTTAGAAGACATGTCTAAAAATTTATCTTCTAATTAATTTTTTAAAAATCAATTGTTGAATTAAAAATTCATTTTATATAGATCATATATCTTAATTTTTAAATTATTCTATTAGACGTAATCATTATGTTGATTAAAAAAATTTAACATAGCTAAATATATATTAATAAATAAATTTTTTTAATAAAATAATTATAAGTATTAAATTAGTATAAAAATTAATATACATAATTGATATAAAATATAACTTTTAATCCAACTATTAATTTTTAAAAATATTAATTAAAATATAAATTTTTAAATAAGTTCCAAAATAAAAAGTTTTAGAGGACAACTTGCCTCATACTATTCCTATTTGTGTGTGTATATATATATATATATATGTTTCCGTATTTCATTTGGTAAATGTAAGGATTTATACCTCCTATCTATGGTTCGAATTGGTAATTTGAACTTTAATATATATATATATTTTTGCTTATTTATGCTTCGAATTTTCTAGTGAAGAAGACTAGAACCACATTTTTATGTTATATCTACATTATTTATTACGTTTCAGGACCTTTTTTAATGGCGGACATAGCAGGGGCAATCTTCAGTGCATTGAGTTGCATTTGTGGCACTCCAACCTGCAACTGTATGGATCAATATAGAAATTTTAATGATGATGTGGGTGAGCTGAGAAGAAAATTGGACAGTCTAACTAGCCAGAAACAAGATATAGAATCAAGAATACAAGTGGCAGAGGCTCGCGGGGGACAAATGGTTAGACGACAAGTGCAAGAATGGCTTAAGCAAGTACAAGACATCAATGTTGATGTGCAAGCATTTTTAGACAAGGTACAGGGAGTCAAGTGGTACAAGCGTGCCTGTCTTGACAAACTTGTTTGCAGAAAAATTAATGTGGTGAAGGAAATGCTTGAAAAAGGTAGTTTTCCTGAAGGCCTTGTTACTGAGAGAGCTCCAGCTCATGGAAACATTATTTCAACAGAGAATTTAGTGGGAGAAATTTCTACTAAAGAGGAAATTTGGGGGTACTTGATGGGTGACGAGTTTGGAATGATTGGAGTTTGTGGGATTGGTGGAGTTGGAAAGACGACGATCATGAAGAATCTCCACAATGATTTAAAAAGGGAGACTAGATTTGAAAAAGTGATCTGGGTTACTGTATCTCATCCTCTCAATATTTTTGAATTACAAAAGAAGATTGCTGATGCTATGGGCGAAAGACTTCTAGAGCATGAAGAGGTGATGATGCGAGCAGCAGCACTAATGGAAATAATGAGAAGAGTGAGATTTGTGCTAATATTAGATGATGTATGGGAAAGGTTCTCTCTCAGGGATGTTAGACTTCCAGAACCGACAGTGCAAAATGGGTGCAAAGTAATTATCACTAGTAGATCGGTAGAAGTATGCAGTTATTTAGATTGTAAGATTGTTAAAGTGCAGCCTCTTTCACAAAAGGAGTCTTTAACTCTATTCCTCAATAAAGTTGGACATGATGTTTTACAAATTTCCGGGTTGGAAAAAATCTTGAAGCTTATTGTGAATGAGTGTGCTGGTTTGCCCCTCGCTATTGTTGTGATAGCAGGAAGCATGAAAGGAGTGGATGATATTAAGTTGTGGAGAAATGCCTTGACAGAGTTACAAGAAGGTGTTAAGAGTGTGAAAGGTTCGGATGATGAGATATTTGTGCGGTTAAGATTTAGTTTTGACCGTCTACAAAGTTTGAAAATCCAAAAATGTTTTCTGTATTGCTCCTTGTTCCCAGAAGATTTTGAGTTTCCTAGAAAGAAGTTGATAGAAGATTGGATTGATGAAGGACTGATTGATGAGTTTGGAAGTAGACAAGCTGCTTATGATAGTGGCCATGCTATTTTAGATAGTCTTCAACAAAATTTCTTGTTAGAGGAATGTGTTGGAAGTGATAGAGTTAAGATGCATGATGTTGTGAGAGACATGGCTATCAAAAGCATTGGTCCTGAATTTGGATATATGGTAAAAGCTGGTATGAAATTGACAAAGGTACCAGATGAGCGTAGATGGGGAAATGATCTTAAGAAGGTATCTCTAATGGTGGATGACATTTTAAAAATTCCCGTTGGTTTGTCTCTGAAGTGTCCATTGCTATCAACTTTGACATTATCAAAGAATCCTAATTTGTCAGAAATTCCAAGTTCCTTTTTTGAAGATATGGTCGGACTTAAGGTTCTTGATCTTTCTTGGACTGGTATTGAAGCTTTACCTGATTCCATCTCTAACTTGTCGAATCTCTCTGCACTGCGGTTGAGGTATTGTTGGAGGTTAATGTACTTGCCTTCCTTAGCAGAGCTTAGGGTATTGAAGAAGTTGGATCTGCATGGGGCAAGGATTGAGGTGGTCCCTCGAGGCTTGGAGTTGTTGGTAAGTCTTGAATATCTTGATTTATTTTGTCGAAGTCTAAAAGAGATCCCAATGGGAATATTACCTAAACTTTCCAGTCTCCAGTACTTGGTTGTATATCTAAGTAGCGAAATTACTACAAGGATGAATTTAGAAAAGGTTGATAGATTGAGCAAGTTGGAAAGTTTGACATGTAGAATGGAGGGCATACAAGACTTCCACTATCTTGTCAATAAGTCTAAAGATTTTGAAAGTCTTACGGCTTATGATCTTCAACTGACGCCAGATAAACGAGACTTCGCAGAATATGGATTTAATGATGAATATCAACGTAGGGTTTTAATTTTTGAGTGTGAGATCGGAGAAGAATGTATGGTGCTTCCAGATAAGCTTGAGAATTTGTGGATCAATGACTGTACAAACATGAAAAACATGAGATGCAGCTTTAACAAAACAATTTTGTTAGAAAATGCAACCGAGTTGAGAAGGTGTTCTATTCAAGATTTTAAAGGGATAGAGTGCATGGTTGAGTTGGACTCATCCTCCCTCTCTTTGTGTTGTTCAGTACTAGATAAGCTTGAAGAGTTGAAGCTTCAGGGCTTGCCTAACTTGAGTGTACTTGTGAAAGTGGAAGGAGTAGCAACACCACTGCACATCTTTTCCAATCTTAAAATTCTTATAATAGGCAATTGCTCCGGAATGAGGAAGTTGTTTCCACTTGAGCTGCTACAGTCCCTTCAAAACTTAGAGGAGATTCGTGTTGACCACTGCAAACAAATGGAGGAGATAATAGCATCATCAGATTCAGATGATACGTCATCGGATAAATTCATTTTTCCCAAGTTAAAGGAATTGAAATTGTCACACTTAGACCAATTGAAGAGCATCTGCAGTGCCAAAGGAGTTCTGGTTTGTGATTCTATTGAAGTTATTCAAATAATTAAATGTCCGAAGTTAAGGAGGACCCCTTTACAGCTTCCTCTCCTTGATAATGACCAGCCATCTCCTCCTCCTTGTCTCAGAAAAATCGAGATAGATGATGAGTCAAAAGAATGGTGGGAATCAGTGGTTGAGTTGGATCATCCTAACGCTAAGAACATCCTCCAACCTTTCTTGAAATTTCGTCCATGGTGGATGTAAGGGGTTAATTGATTTATTGTAATTTGAATTTGATTTGTTTAGTTCCTTAAAATTTCTGTCATCTCATCTGAAAGCGGAGTTGTTGACAAATCTTCAATTTTTCAGATTTACATAAATAAGTCACGTGTGAGCCTTATAACACATGCCAATAAAACCCCTTCTACCAGTACTCCGCAACGGGAGCAAAGCCAAAAATGCGTCTGACAGGGAAAGCCTATGTATTGTGGAAGAGACGACATTGAGATGCATCCACCCTTCGCCCTCAGCTCTACTATCCTATCTCATAAACTCCAACTATGTAAGTATCCATATTTTGACTCTGATCATTTTTATTTTCCGGTTTTATGCTTTCATTCCATTTATATAGAAATTAGATTTTGGGTTTGGGTATGTATGGCTCGCTGAAATTGGATTTTGGGTTTCGGTACTAACAAAATCGTGGGTGATGAGATTGGCTAATGTTTGCCACTGAAACGTTAATATTTCTTCTTTTTTTTTCATATGATTTTTTTTGGAATATTGAGATTTCTCAACATCTTGCAAACCAGGTTGGTAGTATGGAATCAATTCCTATAAGATCACTTCCTTGAAATCTCTTGTTGGCTCCAAATTTCTCAACATATTTTAAAGTTCTGCTATTTGTTTGTAGGATCTTTTCTCAAGCAAAGGCAACTTCTCTCGTCGGAACAGTAAAGCAAAAGAAAATAGGACTGGACTCATCCACTGCCAGTAGTTTTTGATTTCATTGACAATAATGTTAGATTTTTCTTTTTTTTACCAATTTATGTCTTTTTTTAATTGTATTGGATGAACTTGGTTTTGTTTCTTTTGGTAATTTGCTTGTGTTGTAAGTTGTTAAGCATGTTATGTTACGGGATTTCTACTCTTGTTTCTGTGGTGCTTCATTGCTTCATATACTCAATCTGTTATCAATTTTGAAATCTTAAATTTTTGTAATATGTACCTTTCGTGTATACTTTGCTGACTTGACCACTGGAGAACATTTCGACAAAACTCCACTGCCTTTTTCCACTCTTGCAGGTTTTTTTTTTCTCCATTTCATTTACTTTTCTATCATTTGCAATCCTTGATTGTTTTAGTTACTAAAATGGAAACAACTTTTGTTGATTGAAGTGAACAGAAAAGGAAGTTCCTGTCTAGGAATCCATAACAGAAAAGTACTCAGCTCTCATAAATCCTTAGTAAGTTTTTTGACTAAGAATTTTATTTAATTTTCATTAGGCCTTTCTACTTTTTTCATTATAGATAAATTGATTTTTGGGTATGTATGGCTGAAATTGAGCCCTTTTGAAATGCAGATTTCAGCACAATCGATAGGCAATTGACAGGAAGAGATGTAGGCTCTGGTCTCTGATGAACTCCAAGCAATAAGTGTCAATTTTGCTGTCTTCATTCTCTATCCATGTTTGTACTTTGACACTTCAAAATTAATATTATTCACCTACAATAGTAATACAATTTGCTTTTCAAGTTCTTAAGCTAAAAGGTTCATACAATAAAGTGTCTGATAGTAATTAGTATCATTTTCAGGTTTCCTATAAGTAGCTGAGTCTCAACTTTTTGGTGTCACGAAATGTTGCAAAGAGGTGAACATCTTTCCTTTCCAAGAATGTAGCTAAAAGTTCACATTCACAAGCCACAAGAATTGAGACACAAACTCATGATTGTTTATGAATTCTTTTGCTACCATAAATGGAATTTTTTGAATTCTATAGCCAAGCAGTAATTTGATAATCTCTTCTCTGAATTTCTATCCTTGTCTATACTTTGACCTTTTAAATTAATATTATTCATCTACAGCTGTGATATAATATGATTTTCAGGTTCTTAAGCTAAAAGTTTTGTACAAGATAAAGTTTCTGATAATAATTAGTATCATTTTCAGGTTTGGTAGGAGTTGCAAAATTTTGATGTCATGAAATGTTGCAAAGAGGTGAACAACTTCTCTCCAAGAATGTTATGAAATGCTTTTATTGGCAGCTATCAGAATTTTAGTGACATTCATGAACATTCCTTAACTAATTATTGAGCTGTTTTGGAGGTGCAGGTTCATTAGCAAATTTATGTGATTGCATTTCTGCAAAGTTGAAGTCCAGCTGAGCACCATCTAATGCTCTTAAATTTAATAGAGAGATTCTAATGGCGAAGCCAACAGGAAAAGGATGGTGATTTTAGATGTTGGGTGAAGACGAATATGTAAATGCTATCAATTTAGCATCACCCTATTCTGCCAAGTAGTTGCCATCCCAAAGGTTGTCAGCAAAAACAGGAACAGCAAACAGCAAACAGTCCTCTCCAACTAAGAAAATCAGCCTTTTGAAACTGGTATGAATAAATGACCTATATTACAACAAACAGGTTTAGTAACTCAACTTCAACATGCATTAATTTTTTGCTCCTTATGGGCCGGTATACATGGCTGAGGGCTCTGCAATTCTTATTTGATTTCATTATGCTTATTCTAGATTGTAAGCAAGCTAGAGCCTAATGCGCACTCCTTAAAGTTTCATCTTTCAATGCAGGCCTCCTGCAGCCAAGAAGTCTCTTACAATAGGAAGTGCTGCTCCTAATCTAGGAAGCAAAACGGGAGACTAGAAGAAATAGTTTCCAAGCAAAGCAGTATCTCATCATTCTTCAAGACAGTTAATTTGGGCATAATGAAGTTCCTACTACGTCAAAAGTAGAGGTTGCAACCTAATTTACGCCACAACCAAGGTACGTTATTTTTGGTTTCATATGATTTCATCAAGGCATTTGAAATGTCTTTTTTGTGTCTTAGTTTTGATCCACTAATGCTTTTAGACATCTTGAGGAGCAAAAGACTGATGTTTATGGGAGATTCAGTGCAGAGAACCAGTTTGAGGAAATGGCTTGTTTGGTACAATGCATGATTCCTGAGGAGAAAAAAATTCTTTCATAGAATTCCTCTTTTGAAGATCTTCAAAGCTGAGGTACCTTAACTTTTCTGCCTATCATACTTTCCTATGTTACACAAATTCTTCACTTTATCCTAATAAATCTACTTTTAATGTGTTAAATGGTTTGAAGGCTTAAATTTAGGGAATAACATAGTAAACATTTAAAGTATCTGTGTTAGACACTTGATCCCAGTATTTTGAGCTTTTGGAATGTGTTTTAGGAGTATAATGCATCAACTGAGTACTACTGGGAGCCCATCATACTGGAGTCTAATTCAAACCATGCAAGAAATCACTGTTCTGAGAGAGCTGGTGAACCTTGATGCCATAGCCAAAAATGGCGAGAACTAGGAAGGAGTTAATGTGAGGTTTGAGAGCTATGTCAGTCTAGGATTGATGCTACTATGTAAGTATTCAGTTTTCCATCAAAGGCTTTTTGTTCCATTTAAATTCTTCTAGTTTTTTCTTTTTTTTAGTAGAAATTCTTCTGGATTTTGTGTTGCAAGCTCCAGTTTTTAATTTGAGCATACATTCTGAAATCTAATAGATTGTCCTTTTTTCCTTCCTGGGTTTCGGGTTTTTTGTTTTCAGCTATGGAACCCCGAGGCTTGTTCATGAATATATTGTGACAACTGCTTATGGATTGGCACTGGAAACCTGGAAACTTGTTTAAAATCCAACATCAGTCCTTCAATTCAGAGGGTCTTCTTCATGACCGTGTCCCCAACACATCTGTGGTATGTTTCACTTGCTGTTTTTTTATTAAGATACGAATATCCCATATCCCAAAATTAAGAAGATGATGGTTATAGCTGCATCTTTCAGGAGCTGGGAATGGAAGCCAAACGGTCACGAGAACTGTTTTGATGAGA